ACTTCATCCTATTTATCTCAGACCATTTCTCCAGTTTGTCCAGGTCATTTTGAATTATGACCTTATCCTGCAGATTAGTTGCAACCCCTCCCAGCTTGGTATCATCTGCAAACTTAATAAGCGTACTTTCTATACCAATATCTAAATCGTTGATGAAGATATTGAACAGAGCTGGTCCCAAAACAGACCCCTGCAGAACTTCACTTGTTATGCCTTTCCAGCAGGATTGTGAACCATTAATAACTACTCTCTGAGTATGGTTATCCAGCCAGTTATGCACCCACCTTACAGTAGCCCCATCTAAGTTGTATTTACCTAGTTTATCGATAAGAATATCATGCAAGACCATATCAAACGCCTTACTAAAGTCTAGATGCTGAGAAACAAAAGTCTGCATTAAGGAGACAACATTTTACTTAAAAATCTCTGGTAGCCCCATCTAAGTTGTATTTACCTAGTTTATCGATAAGAATATCATGCAAGACCATATCAAACGCCTTACTAAAGTCTAGATGCTGAGAAACAAAAGTCTGCATTAAGGAGACAACATTTTACTTAAAAATCTCTGAACTAACTAAGACGTATAATAACTTGGTTATAATTTTCCATGTAATAAGAAAAACTTCCTCTAAGATCTGTTAGAGGGAAGTGGTGGATGCCCCATTATTTGAAATTTTTAAAGCACTGGAGGATATGCCCTAGTGGTAGGGAAACTGTTTTGGCCAGGTACTTGTTCAACAACTGACGGGTATGTCTACACTGCCACCCTAATTCGAACTAGGGTGGCTAATGTAGGCATTCGAACTTGCAAATGAAGCCCGGGATTTAAATATCCCGGGCTTCATTTGCATGTTCCTGGGTGGCGCCATTTTTAAATGCCCCGTAGTTCAAACTACCTGCCCGCGGCTACACATGGCATGGACTAGGTAGTTCGAATTAAAGCTCCTAATTCAAACTACCGTTAAACCTCCTTGCAGGAGGCCTTCATTTGCAAGTTCAAATGCCTACATTAGCCACCCTAGTTCGAACTAGGATGGCAGTGTAAACATACCCAAAGAGATCTCAGAGGGGTCACCGTGATAGTCTGTAACTTCAAAAACAAGAAGTGGTCCTGGGGCACATTAGAGACTAACAAAAATATGTAGAATCATGACCTCTCGTGGGCAAAACCCACTTCATCAGATGAGATTCGCCAACTTTCTTCTTCATTCGCTTGGCTCTGAAATGCTGTTGAAAGTGACACCAAGATTTTCCATTCATAATTTAGTTAGAAACATAAGATGCAACTAGCATAGTTAAATAGATCAAGGAAAAAGAAGTGAGGATTTTGCTTTGTTTGTGTTTTTAACAGGAAAGTCACTGTGCATGGTTTAACAAAATACTCCCGATCACAAGGAGATCCGTGATGCAGAGTTGGATTGACTCTTAAAGAGCCAAGAGTAGAAATAATATCACTGTATTGTTTACACAGAAAGAGGAACAGGTGGCCTCATTCACGTCTGGATTTTAAAAACCACAACAATCAGACTGAGAGGTTTATTTAAATAATTAAAGTTTTTTTTATAAAACATCAGTTAACAGTAGCATCCATCCTGAGCTCTGTACTGTCTTTACAAGACATCCAATTCACAGTCCACAAACTAAAATAATTTTTACAGATTAAATCTATGGCCATTTCCCCCACATTCATAAGTAAATCCAGCTTCATAACATGCCAATAAAGCATGCCAATGAATAATCCCGACTAACCCCATCTTCCAAATGCCCAGGAAAAAAATGTGACCTTTGTAATGAGTCAATAGGTTTAACAAATGTGAGATTTGGTGGACTAAAGGGGAGAGAGGGAGGCATACTGTAGTGGATGGGCCCACATGGAAAATGCCCTGCTGGCAACACTCTCTCTTGTATGTTGAAATACCCTGCTGCTCTCCACATAGCAGCTTTACCACATGAGGAGGGAGGCTGTGTTTCAAGTTATTTAGGCGCAAATTATTTTGAGCAGTAATCATCAGCAATGCTTATATCTTGAATTCTCCTTAAAAGCCCCCATTGTGAAGCTACTAGTGTTATGTTTTGGGTCAATCTACTGTATTTTTAAGAGAGTGTGTATGTGAGCGAGCGAGCGAGCGAGTCTGTCCTTCCATCTGTTCGTTTGCTCAAACACTCCTTCTAAATGGTAAGAGCTAGGATGATCCAATTTCATGTGAAGTTTCTTCTTATCATAACTGAAAGCAAAGTCAGGGTTTGGTTGTTCCAGGACAATGTCTGGAAAGCACTTGTTTTTCATAACACAGAAAAGGAGGCCACTGCTAGCAGGGACAGTTATTCTGTCTAATGACCACAGGGCGGGAGGGGGCAGCAAGGGTCTAGAGATGAGGACCAGAACTATTGGGGCAGTAGGGAGCAGGAGAAGTAAGCTTCCCACCCACCCCTAGCCAGTGCAGTCCCCGCTGCGGCCAATACCAGGGAGCTGCCACTTGGTCCCCACTGCAGCCAGCCCCAAGGAGCTGCCACCCAAGAAGTATGGCCCCTCTGTGGCCAAATCCAGGGAGCTGCTGCCTGGGAAATGACCCCCACTGTGGCCAACCCCAGAGAACTGCTGCCTAGGAAGCACGACCCCCACTGTGGCCAGTCCTGGGGAACCACCACCCAGGCAACAGAGCCCCTGTCCCTGGTGGCTCCTGCACCCCTCAAAACCACTGCCCCATGCCCTCAGTCCCTCCTTAACCAACCCTGAGTCCTGCACTCCCCTGCACATACAGTCACTTGCCCTGAGCCCCCTCACACTCTCAAACCCTCACTCCTGCCCCTCCCACACCCACGCCCCCTGCCCTGAGACCCCTTCATCCCCAAGTCCCTGCTGAAGGAGCAAGCAATGCCTGATAAATCTTCCAGTCAATTATAAAGATAAAAGTAAAAAAAAATAGATCCTTATTAGTCCATATGAAAATATATATATATATATATATATTTCTCAGGGAGAAGTGAAGGATCATTGCCAGAGACGGGCAAGCTTCAAAAGGTTTAAAGGTTTGAATAAACGCTTAAAAATACGGATACTTATCTGTACCTCATTGGTCTGCAAAATTGGTCTGTGACTCTCAGAAGGGTGTGTTTTCCTATGAGGGTTCCCATTACTTCCTGCTTTTTGCCAGCCTTTCATGTGGTGTGTCAGCCTTCAGCTTCTGCCCTTAACCAGAACAAAGGTACAGAGGTAATTAAAATAATAAAGGATAGAAAGCTAAGCAAGCCTCCAATAATATTGAATATAGGTTTAGAGAGCCAGCTCAGCATGATGGTTTTTAGTCTGTACAGACCATTCCTACTATGTAGCACTTGAGCTTGGGTTATCTGGTTCTTTTTGAAACAGAAAACAATTTGTTTTAATCACTTGAATTAAACCGGAAGTAAAATGTTCTTCTGCCAGTAAAAAAAAAAACCCTCATAAGTTCTTAGGTTATGTGACCTTTTCAAATCTCCAAATGGATCTAATGGTTTTGCATCTCTTGGAATTCCAAAACATGCCCCTCGATTACTCATCAGTCAGAGCTCTGAAGTGAACCATAAAGCATAGCAATTCATTGAAGAAGTGGCCTTCTGACCAAGAGTAAAACATATGGGTGATGTGTAACAAAGATTTCCAGCAGGGAAAAACCCAGTAGAGGTGACATAAGCCCCGTATGGGTAACCCTTAAACTTCTTAAGGTTGCAAGAGGCAGGGACAACCCACCAAACTCAGAAATAGATCTAGAACGTGATCACACAAAGCCCACTCCATTAGTGTTCTGATTCACAGTTTGGGTCCCCGAAACTCTCAAAGATGTACAATGGGTCTCTAAATACTCTGGTTCAAGCCATTATAAAAACAGAAATAATCTATAAACTGTAGTTCCCAGTCCAAGTTCAAAATGTTTAAAAAAGTGTTGGAAATTCAAGTCTTTGGCTCAGATTCAATCGTCCAACCTAATTCTATAGAGCACATAAGCACATACTTAAATGTTTCACTGAAATAAAGGTTCTAAAGGCAATGGAGTACGAACAGTCATCTGGACTGTTGCTCACTAGGAAATAAAAAATTACTAGTAACAAGTGATTCTCTAAAAGGTTCATGTTGGAAATCATAAAATTGCATTTCTGAACTTTGCCAATCTTATTTAGTCCAACATTTGCAGGAAGACAGATTCACCATCAAGGTTTCAAATACTTCCTGGATTCTCCTGGATTCTAAATGCTAAAGGAATAATCTTTTTCATACTACAGTAATTTAATGTTTCTGCTTTGCCTGCCAACAATTTGAAAGTGCACAAGTGTGTAAAAACAGTAACTACAAGTGACCGTATGGTATGGAGCCAAGTACATACAGACATGCATACTAATTTATATTTCCTTAACATTTTAAACCCCTGTAGTACAATGATGGAGGGGAAAGACTCAGGAACATGAGGAGAGTTAAAATAAGAAAAAGGAGAGGTCCAATTATTAATCTTATTCATGGTCTCCTAGTTCAGTCATATCCTCCAAAGTGAGAGACACAGATATATAGTCTGGGAATTTTTCCAGATTTCTTTTTAAGGAAATGAAATGCTCAACACTGGTTGCACTAAAAAAAGATATTTTTGGTTCTCCACAATACCATTAGCAGAGCTGAGTATGGGTTCTGAATACATACTTGGAGGTTGTACAACAGTGCAGCTATGCTTTGTAGAGCTAGAAGAACTGTCATCACCATACTATCTATTTTACACATTGCAAACAACTATATCATGTAATGTATCACTTTGCCACAGAATCCAGTCCTTTGCCCATGTCTTGCTGCAGAGTTGCACTCCAGTATCTTTTTTAAACGTTTTCACTCACCAGGGGTGTGAAAATAATCTTGAAAATGTAAATAAGTTGCAAACGGTGTCAGTGAGATGTGAATGATCTCATTCCTTTCATTGTGTTGTTGAAACCTAAAGACAACAAATTCAGTATCAACATTAACTATTTCAGTGCTTCGCATCGTTGCAGCAGCTGCAATTAGTTGATGTGCATATACCCCAATCCTAAACTGCCTCTCTCATGTCTCTCCAACAGCCAAAATTCTTAATTGTCCTTTGCTCAGTTGCCAAAACCTCCAACTTTCCCCAGCATAACTTCTATGCTATAGCTATGCAACATCAACATGTTCATAAATGTGACACATTAAAAAACTTCCCTGAATTTCTAGTGTTCCCCTCTAAAGTGCCACAGAATTCAGGGATCTTGCTATAGAAATTAGATCCAGTTTGCAGCAGAGTAGATGGAGTTGAAATACTTATTATACATAAATTAATCAAGTAAAAAATATGAACAGGCCAGGCACAACATACACTCACCCCAAAAAATACCACTCCACCAAGCTGAATGGGTGAATAGACTCTTGCAAGGCTCAATTAACATAGGCGATGCTGAAAATATCTTTTATCGGTGTTGCTTCAAAATCACTTTGTAAATCCTATTTAAAATAAAATATACACACATAATATAGTGCAATGCTACATGCCATGATATAGAAACACCTGTTGAGCTCGCAGTCAGATAGCGCAGACTTAAATTTAAGCATAAGTCTTTCCATGGACAGCAGGTATGCAATTTCTGTCTCCACAGAAATGTAAATAGATGGCAGAAAGTCCCAATAAGTCAGAATTTGACATTCTTAGGAGAATATAAGGTCTTAAGCAATTGCTGATAAGCCTGGTTCAGAATTGGCTTGCATTTAATTAAAAAAAATGTCAACCATACAAAATATTGTGGTATTTCTGTTGTATGCCTCCATCTTTAAAATAAACATTTTGTGAATAGGATTGTTACAAATATGCAATGCAAACCCTATTCTGAATCTATTCTATCCCCTCCTTGATAATAATATTTCTCTGTCATAACCACATTACAGCAGCAAATGTCCATGCATACACATGATACATTGGGACTATTCAGCATTGGCTTCCCTTACCAATTCAGCATGTGTCTCATTTCACTATATTGAGAGGATTGTATGCTCTTGTGTTAGATGATTATTTTTATCTTTATCTTGTGTGCTTGCTTGTTTGTTTGTTTATTTAGGCAGTTGCCATGTTGTAACCATGACAAATAGCTTAGAAGATGCCATGCTCTGGAGTATGTTCTCCTTGAGCAGCTTTGGGATCTCTCAGGCAATCTTTTGTCTGTTGAAGCAAAATGCAGGACAATGTAGCACTTTAAAGACTAACAAGATGGTTTATTAGATGATGAGCTTTCGTGGGCCAGACCCACTTCCTCAGATCAAATAGTGGAAGAAAGTAATCACAACCATATATACCAAAGGATACAATTAAAAAAAAAATGAAGGATGTCTGAAATGAAGGATGTCTGTGGCATCCTTCATTTCTGCACTTGAATCATGTCTCCATCATCTCGGGGTTTATTCTTCAGTGGAAACGTGTGCATCACTCATATGAACACTATGCATCTGCCAAAGTCTTTGTGGATCTACTCTGGGGCTGTTTTTGAGCCAGGCTGCTGATGGAGCTGGCTGGTTTGTCCTGCTAAGTACTTCTTGCCTTTTAATTTGCTTATAATTAGCTCTATGTGATGTGTTTTGAGAATGAGGCTCTGAGCAAACCCCTCAGAGGATATCAGATGGGAAAAGATCTTTTGCAAGGTTGCTGCAAATGGCCATAGGGGTTGTTAACATAAATTTACACTGTTGTTAGGGAGAGGCCTGCATGCTGTTTTTCTTAAGCATAAGATTTTTCTTGAGAAAAGTCCTTAGGCTTTGTTAGTGAGGAGGTGGGGAGAAGTGTACATGATCTCTGTGTTGTTGCCTTCAAACAGTGTGTTGTGGGCTATTTTTTGGTTGATTGGTTGGTGGAGAAGAGGGGAGGCAAGAGATTAACCTTAGTGATGACACTGAAGCAACTACACAAATTATGTGTAACACTGAAGCTTCATATGTATTCAGGAACCTACCTTGGTGCTAATACAGCATTATTTTCAAAGTTACGACACCATGCACGTTTAAAACTCCAAATGGAAGCCGTTCCCTATGCTTAGCCTGTGAGATAAATGTGAGAGATTTGTTTCTAGTCTGAGCAGGTAATATGAAGACAGCATACCTTACTGAAGTTTCAGAAATCCCTTTCAAAGAATGGTTTACATTTGGATGTACATGATAAGTTTGTGTTTGCATTGGTAAGTCACGCGTATTCTTGGTAATGAATAATAATATATTATAATTAGTATTGTGACTATGGTATTATTTAGTTCAGAAGTCAATCTGTCTGCAAATCATTGCACTTTCCAAATCTAAGTCAGTTACTTCACCTCCCATAAAACCTAAATTAAATTGTTAATTTAGATTTTACAAAGCCTCTTTGGGACAGGGATGGGCTTTTCTTTACACGTGTACAGCACCTAGCACAATGGGGCCCTGATTCTGACTGCTAGAAGGCTACCCCAATGCAAATGGTGAACACACCCAATAAAAGGCGGTATTAATTGAACCAGCAGTTAGCTGTAGAAAACGATGGGGATCCACAGTTAGAGAGAGATGCTGAGGCACATCAGCAAGTGCATTCAGACCATGAAATAGATGTAACCTTGTGCTATGGGGAGCATCTCAGTTGTGTTTCATATGTATTCTTCACAGCCCTTACAAGGGATAGTTCCAGTGTAGGAACAAAAAAACAGCCTTGCTCCAAGGGTATTGTATGTAAAGATTAACAGTGTCAAATGGTGACAGGACTATCGTAAATTCCTTGCACACAAAACTAAGATGTTAAATCCTATCTCTATAACTTCTGTTCCTCTCAATGCGAAATTCAGAAGGTGTTGAATGGAAGTGATCACAGAAAGTAGTAGCTTGATTGATAAAGTCCCTATCTGGTCATTTACGATCTGGCTGAAGGAGAAGCGGCTTTTGCCAGACAGAAAAGCAATTAATCTGCAAACAAGCCAAGGAACAGCAGGGCTGTGCATTGGAGTCTCAGGCTGCTGGGAGCTCATGAGAGGAGATAAGACCGCAGCCTGCTATTTATTGTACATTTTAATTAAGTGCTTGTTAACGGCAGTTATCTTAACAGTCATAAAATTACTGTTGTAATGCATTTTGTTTGAGGGGGAAAAAATGGAGGGAGCCGAAGGACTTTATGAAAGCAGTCACAGATTGCTTTCACTTTAAATCAAAGAATAAATTCTGAAGAGGAGGGATGTTGCAATGATCTAAGCCGAGCCACTAATGGTTATTTAATGTGGCCATCAGTGTTTGTAAGTCCCTAGCATACGGAACGTACACAATAGCCTCCAAACCCTCTTTAACACTTATTTGAGATGACAGGAAAAATGAAACCGTTTGTGCTTTCAATGGAAAAGCAATCATTGGTACATTATATTCTGCTTGCCCTATCATGCTAATGCATGGTAAAAATGTCACCAAATGTATTTAAGGACCTGATGGAGTGTTGCCGTTTGATTCCTGTTACTGGGCTGATTAATAAAAATCTTCAATTTGTATGTAAATGCAGTGGGGTTTCATATCATCCACATACCTGCACCTGGAGAAAATAATAAACTGAACTTTAATGCAGCAATTATAAGCATTTATGGAACTCTTTAAAGAGGCTGCTGCCTCCCCTGACCATCAAGATGAGATATTCACAGAGGAATATTACTGATGCTCAGACAAGCAGGGCTGCAGATGGTCCCCAGTGCAAATGCTGCCAATGCAGATTAACTCACTGACTCATACTCACTTTGGTACAACAATGTAAGCTACTTCTTATTAGACAAAAGTGTCATATTTCCCCCTCCCTCCGAAATCAGATCAAATTGAACTGTACTTTGGGGTGGGAAGAGGGTGGTGATTAACATTTCAAATGAGTTTTGTTTGCATCATTTACACTTTTCCTGACATCATTTAATTCCCCTCTGAATATGTTCCCATGACAACATCATCACCATAGATAAAAATTGCATTGATACAACAGAAGCTTTTCAAGATACATGACAACAGCTGTTTGTTTGTTTGTTTAATCCCTCTAATGATGTTCAGCCTTTAACCAATGACCCCCAATGGTCGATCCTTAATAAAACAAAGTGTGTAGCTATTTGCATTTTCACAGCTGGATATTGGAAACGGTTGTGGTTTGGGTACTAATGGAATAATAAGTTCATGTATTGGATATGGTCATGTGGAGGAATACATTAGAGCACAGATAGATATTTGGTTTGATGTATGCTCATGCACAGTCTCTGCGTACATAGCAATTTGTGGTTAAGTATGCACCTAGCATAGATGTTCGTAGTTACTGTAAACATTTATGGAGCTATATTTTCACATTTTAGTGTATGTGTACAAAGATGAGAAACAAATATACTAAACATATTAACCTTCTAAGACCCAACATAGAATAATTAATTTATCTCATTTCATCACTATATTCTTATTAGAGTGTAATTCTTAACCAATACAAGGTTAGTGACTGGTTTTCCTGTTCCAAAAAATGTAATATTCTTCATAGATGACCTCCACAAGATATAATTAATGACTGTTAAAGACTAGTCAAAGTTGTACTTCTTATATACTCTGATAAGTTTTTGACTTTTACCATTCACAGATCAGCTTTCTCTTTATAGGGAACCGCTGTTTTTACTCTGCTTTTCATGATCCAAAATCAAAACATTCTCTTTATAAAAAGGCACTATTTTTTAAAATAAACTTTCATGTAAAGGATCTAGTTTTTTTAAATCCTTTTTTAAACCAGTCTCTCGTTTTGTGGGTACAACTCGCTGCAGTGTTAAACACAGCATTTAACCATCCATGATTTCACCCAAAAATCTGGCAGATGGATGATGAAATTTCCACCTGAAAAACTGGAGGTCAGGTTGAGACCACCTTTTTAAAATGTGCAGCCCATTTTTAAATTTCTCTTTCTCTTGTCAATAAAAATTTAAATTGATTTCAAAGCGAGAAGGAGCAGTCCTTGGTCTACCATATGCATGTATATTTCAGTCATCTATCAGACATATATGCATGCACTGTCCCGATGCCTTTAAGTCAGTGGGAGGCGACCTGCAGCCCGAGGGCCTCATGCAGCCTATCATGCTATTATCTGTGGCCAAGAGACATTTTGTTTACTGTTGCCCATATGCAGGGTTGCCAGATTCCACTGGTTTCTGAGCAGGTAGGGTGTTTTTCCTACCAGTATTATTAAAGTGACATACATGTAAAGCAAGAACATGTGAATTAAGGTGTGTGCTGATTGTACACACTCCCTCCGCATCCAACCAAAAAACTGCTACAGTTCAGTCGGTGCATCCCACAAATTCTAGGCATGCAAGCAATGTTAGCAAAACAACCCTATCTCAGGAGACCATCCTGGTTATGACAATTTTGCAGGCCACTGAGATGACGAAGGACCATTCATGAGGCCCACTCACTAGCCTAGGTTGCCCATTGATGCTTAATTATTGCTCATC